TTTTTTTTTCCCGAAACGATAGATTATATTATAAATCAAAATGCACAAATGTGCGAATACACAGCAGCCAACGACTGAATATACAGCAGTCAACAACTGAAAAAGTGGGAGGACAGGTCAGAAGACCGCCTAGAGTCCCGCTAGCAACGCTAGAATAAAACTCGCAACTAAAACTAATCAACTAAAACAACTAAAACAACAAACAACAACTAAAAGGACCCCAACGGAGTAATACCCGAGTGTCGGATCCCATTGGGATAATAAGGTGACACTCGGGTTCACAGGGGCCAACGGCCCAGACCAAAAACACAATCAGAAAACATAAAAAACAAACTACAAAACAAACACTGAAAAGACAATAAAAAACACACGAGCCCTTCCTCTACAGCAAATCCTATCCTGACTAGCAGCCACCAAATCAACCTAGCGGAATCCCATAGCAAAAGAAAGCAACCCCTCCACTGCCAAACTGCCTAGCTGAGTCGAAACTCCTGCCATGAATCCACCCAAAGTCAATTCTTCCAAACGCCATAAAACATCCAGAAAGCTCCCAACACCGCCAAAACAAACAGTGCACCCCGGAACCCAACCCCAGAGAACCGGAAAAAAAGAGCTGACTTGACGCCGCAACCCCCGCTCCAATTTCTCAAAAACACGAAGATACCTGAGCCGCACAAGAACCCGTCCCCCCGAACCGCAGGCGCCAAACCCTGCCTCTCCACCCGAGCCGCAGCCACTTGGCTCCGTCAACACAATGGAGGGACAGAGAAAACAGGAAGCACAGCTAATCGCAGACAAAAGAGAACTGAGACAAGGTCGGCGAAAGAAAGAAACTTACCCTCAATTAAGAGCGCGCCTTCTTCTATCACCTAGCTGCCGGCGAAACAGAACATTGCAGACCAACCGAACCCCCCAACACACTCCGGCAACCAGAAAAACGAACCAAAACGCTCATCCAGCCATCGATAGCGGTTACGAAGAGATGCTAGTCCGAGAAGCCCAAGACGCTTCGACCTGAGAAATTGAAAAGCCAGAGCCGCACCCGACCCTAACCCACGACACCACAGCCTATAGACCCTCCACGGCACCGAAAGCCCTGCACCCACAAACCCTAACCCACCTTCCAAAGAAAGCAAATTTGAATCTGCAGCCACAAGAACCATCGACTTCCGTGGTCATCGAAGGCACAGCACCTGGGAGGGCCGGGTGGCGTAGGAACGACCACCGGTAAGGCTAGAAGCCGCGAGGAAGGCGACGATTTCCAATTTTTAGCGGCAAAGGAGGAAGAAAATTTGGGGATCGAGAGATAGAGAGAGAAAGGACAACAAAATAAAACAAATATACTTAACTTTGACAAATAAAACAAATAAATACTTTAGTAAGTATTTAGTATATATACTAAATAAGAATATATTTGGTATAATCAAATAAGTCAAAGTGTACATTTTTATTTGGTATTTGATTTTTTTATTATTAAAATCTTTTTATTATACTTACCTTTTTAAAATAAAACAAATAAATAAATCAATTAAATAAATAAAATATTATAATACCAAAATAGTAATGACATTTAATGCACTTAACTTTTCTGGATAGTAAATGTAGTAAATAGAATCTCCTTTTATATAAGTATAGATTGTATAATACGGAAATAGTAATGCAATAAATTTTGTTGAGTTTTCTTTATACTAAATCTGGCAAATGGTATACCTTTTAATATAAGTATAGATTGACTTAGAAGAGCTTGAAATCTTGAATAAGGAAGACTTTGCAAGGAAAGTAGATTTATGGGTTATAGGAGATCTTGTTTATCTCGGAAAGGATCATATCGAAAATTGGTGGGGATCTCAAGCGTATCTTATTGACTTGGAGGAGAGATAGGCTGGTTTGTATATATAGAACCTTAATAGAGGTATGACAACCCCCAATCACATGATATTGC